AAGCCCAGGGAGGCCAGACCAGGACCACCCAGACCCGGAGCGGCTGGGCCCGGGGCAGCCGGAGCGGCTGGGCCCGGGGCAGCCGGGCCCAGAGCAGCCGGGTTGGGAGCAGCCAGGTCCAGAGCAGCGGCTGCCAGGCTGGGAGTGGCCAGGCCCGGAGCAGCCGGGTCTGGTGTGGCCAGGCCCGGAGCAGCGGCTGTCAGGCTGGAAGCGGCCAGACCCGGAGCAGCCGGGTCTGGTGTGGCCAGGCCCGGAGCAGCAGCTCTCAGGCTGGAAGCGGCCAGGCCCGGAGCAGCCGGGTCTGGTGTGGCCAGGCCCGGAGCAGCGGCTGCCAGGCTGGGAGCGGCCAGGCCCGGAGCAGTTGGGTCTGGTGCGGCCAGGCCCGGAGCAGCGGCTGCCAGGCTGGGAGCGGCCAGGCCCGGAGCAGCCGGGTCTGGTGCCACCAGGCCCAAAGCAGCGGTTGCCAGGCTGAAAGCGGCCAGGCCCGGAGCAGCAGCTGCCAGGCTGGGAGCGGCCAGGCCCGGAGCAGCCGGGTCTGGTGCGGCCAGGCCCGGAGCAGCGGCTGCCAGGCTGGGAGCGGCCAGGCCCGGAGCAGCCAGTTCGGTTGCAGCCAGGCCCGGAGCAGCCAGGTCTGGTGCGGCCAGGCCCGGAGCAGCAGCTGCCAGGCTGGGAGCGGCCAGGCCCGGAGCAGCTGAGTCTTGTGCGGCCAGGCCCGGAGCAGCGGCTGCCAGGCTGGGAGCGGCCAGGCCCAGAGCAGCCAGTTCGGTTGCAGCCAGGCCCGGAGCAGCAGCAGCCAGGTCCAGAGCAACTAGGTCGGGAGCGGCGGTGACCAGACCCGGAGCAGCTGGTTGTGGAACGAACCAGAGCAACAGAGGCCAGGCCCGGAACAGCCAGGCCTGGAACAGCTCGCTCTTCGCCTGCCCCTGCCCCACGGCTGCCTCTCAGACATGGCTGGAAACTTTTGTGGGAACTTGAGGGTCTGCTGAATCAAGTGATGAAGGAATGAAGGCTTAGATCTGGATGTGTTGAGTTAGTACAGGGCTGGGGTGTTGATCTGTGAGTGCCTTGGGTGGGGCCTGGATGAGGCTGGTTGACCTATTTGGAAATATCTTTTGTGTGAAATGTATCATTGGGCATGTGGTGGTATTATTGATATGAGAAAATGCTAAGTAACTGATTTACTATCTGAAAAGGGATTTACTATCGGGGAAAGGGAGGGAGGAAGAGACTGAACATAAACTGCACCTATGGATGAGGACAATGGGGGATGGGGAGGGGGTTGGGGGTGAGGTGGGAACCTGGTGGAGGGGGGAAGAAATGAGGAACCTTTGTAACAATATGAACAATAAAGATTGATTTAAAAAAATAAATAAATAAATAAATAATAAAATAGCCTAAAATTTTTAGAATTTCTAACAATTCAAAATTATTTATTTTTAATTAGAGATTTAAGAAAAAGTTATAAGAAATTAATAAAGTCAGCCCAGAAACTAAAGCTAAAGTACAGAAAAGTTAGATAATTGGTTCAAAATACCACTGAAGATTATTCTTTCTGTGAATAAACAGTGTACAAATTTCCTAGATTTTTATTCAATATTTGACTGTCAGAACTTATTTTAAATTCTTACTGGAGTAAGGGAGTATAATGAGAACTGGAAAAAGAACAACTATATTTTTTATATGGCCAGGAAAGCCACTGACAGTGTATGAAAAAGAATAAATGTTTCAAAATTAAATTTTCCAGACAGTCCATAGTTGAAAGATTATAATTCCAAATATAATTTTAATATAACATGATAATTAAATATTTAAAAATTTAACAAAATCACTTTCTTAATATGTACTTAGAAAGATTTATTATGTGCAAAATATGAATACTGCAAGTTGAATACCCAAATTTGCAACTTTCACCAATTTTCTGTCTCATTTCAGCATACTTATACCCAGAGTTCAAATAAATCTTCATTTAAACAGGGCACCAATGCTTCCATTCATTAACATCACAAATCCTGTAAATAAATGTATTTCCACTGTGGGAATCTTGACTGTGCCATTCTTTTATGGCATTAGAACATTTATTTACATCTTTAACTGCATGCATTTCTTTAGCTTTTACATATATTTTCCTTCATTGGTATAAGCATCTATTCAAGAGTTTAACTCCTTAGCTAAAAAGACCAAATCCAAAATTCAGAAGTGGTAGTTCAGTCCCTGCAAGGAAGCACATTGAGAATGACAGCTTATAAATACATCAACCTGCTGTAAGATATCTCACATCCTGAAATATCATGGTGTCATTTTTTAATTGAGAGCTATGGAGAGATTCTGATTTTACTCAGTGTTGTTACAATACCTGAAGGAGCTCATTCATTAATTTGTTTAACCATGTGGGGCAGTGAAGCCTTTGGGGACAGTAAGTTCACACTGAGTGTTTTGTGCTCAATGAATCCCCAGTCTATTTTATGTTAATTTGCATTAAAAGCCTCTACTCTCAAAGTACTGGATCATTAAGTTTATACAATAATTAGATATACAAATTAGGAAAAGCAGGTTAAATATCACTTGGCAACATTAACTTGCCCACCACATTCACAATGATGATTTAAAAGTGTGTATTAATTAGCGAGATATACTTGTTCATGCATAACAACTAAAGAAGCCTATTAAAGAATATTTATTTGATTGAATACTTTTTCTAATAAGAAGCACATTCACAGGATAAGGTTCCCTCCCCTCTTTTTCTGTACTGGCTTTTCGCCATTAAGAAGAGTAAAAAAATGTGAAGGGAAAAACTAATCATAAGAAACAAATCTCTTAAATGATTTAACAGCTTATCTCATGCACAGAACAGCTATAGTCTACACTATTAAGCACATCTTCCATATCTACTTAGGATGTTTATTCTGTTATAGTGCAATACAAAGCATGTCTTTTCCATTATTTTAGTGAGACCAATAAACTGGTTAACAAAGAACTTCAGTAAGATTTCAGTAAGTCACTTAAAAAATTAAGACAAATAATTAACCTCTGGTTACTCTTCTAATACAGAAAAAATAACTGGCATCTTTGCATTATTTTTAAGCCACCACAAACTGACACCACTTAAAGAGAGATTTTTCTCCCCTGCAATAGTAATATCTAACTACAATTTTAGTGAAAGAAAACAAGGCAATTCTGAGAGCAATCTGTTTGGGCAGAGCCAGATTTCATAAGTATATAATTCTAATTCCCATGCAGGCCTTCATGCAGTAACCTTTGCCTCCACAGTCCTTGCTCCTGGTTTTAGGTATTCTTTAGTAGAGGACAGGTTTTATAGATAGCATCATGACAGAATGCAGTGCAGGTTCAAATCAGAGTTTTAAGGTCAGGAAATAAGTATTATTTAAATGAGTCACCAATGCCACTTTTAGAACCTCTTGCACTTCCTTTAAAAATCTCCCTTCCAAGAATGTGCCAATTTTTATTTTGGCAAATTATAAATAAAAATCAAGCATACCATAGCTATGATGATTACTCAGTGAGGTGCTATTTTTTTTAATGTTACAAACTTTATAGCTACATTTAGGTTACATTTATCTAGCCCACATTTTTACTGTTTTATTCTCAGTAACTGACCTACTGGGGTCCATTTGAAGAATTTTATGTTCTAGATCATATGTTATATTTTATTATGCTGATAAAAACATGAAATTTCGAAGTTAGGTCAAGAAGAAAAACCACATGAAAATACTTAGCAATAAAGAGTAATTTATGCTAAATATTAATGTATCTTATTTAAGTACACAATAACTTAGTCTAATATAGTTGTAAAAATGTAATACTGTAAAGTTAAAAGTTGGATATTTTTGCAAAATAAAAAAATCTATTCAGAACTTATTCCAAATATATATTGCATACTTTTGTTATTATCTTAAAATACCACTTTAGATTGTTACTATGGAAATATGGGGCATAACAAATAATAGAATTTAAAAACTATCCAGAATGTTTTCTAGAGGTTTGTATTTGTTGGTTGAAAAATATTTAAGAATGTTGTAGTTTTTATAAAAAAAACTCTTGCCTTTACTTTTTTTCTTTCCAAATAATTTAACTTCATTAATAAAAATGTTAGTGAATGGCTCTTTAAAAATACTTATTTTGAAATTACAAAATAATTATCAGAAATTAAAATATTCTAATAAGCAATTACTTAAATGAAAAAAATAAATAGAAATGGGAAATGGAAAATTTAGAGGTCAGTGAAGAAAGAAAGGACATGTGAAATAACACAGAAGAACCTAAAGCAAATGAAGGTCAAACAAAAGTTTACCCATTTCTCCAAACTTATAGTTATTTACCCTGGGACACAACTGAGTTATTTACTCAAAGTGTTTTAAGTCTATCTATTAAAAATCAGGCCACATTCTCAATTCCAGACAGCAGGCCTAGCACAAGGAAAGCCCTCACCCGTTTCAGTGGAAATCTACTAACCTCTCATGGCCCAGTATGACTAATTTGAGTTTTTTTTCACTTGATGGCTTTATGTACGAAGGAAATTTAAAGGTGTGTGTGTGTGTGTGTGTGTGTGTGTGTAACACACACACACACACACACACACACACACACACATATATCTCCATACCAGCTGAGTGTTCAACTGTAGTTTGGTAAAATTATTTTAAATGGTGGTACGGTCACACTGTTTCAATATCACCTCTTATCAACATCATCAATACGTATTAATGGGGGAACAGAAACTATAATTTCTACATTAATGACAAAACCACGTGTTTAGAAGATACAATGTGTTAGAGCACATGTGTCAAACACAAGGCCCACGGGCCAAATCCGTCCCGCCAGGCCTTGCAATGTGGCCTGCACCGCGCTGTCATCACTGCACTCCACTGCATTTCCATCACAATGACAGTTTATGACTGTTCAGTAAACCATTCGGCCCGCGATTTAGGCTGGATTTTAGATTTTGGCTCCTTCTCTGATTGAGTTCGACACCCCTATGTTAGAGGATAAAGGATGCTGCCCTCATCTCCTTTTAAAGTGTCTCACTTCTACTATTTAAGTGTTTCATATTAAACAAATGTTCCATAAGACAAATATAGATTTACAAAAACACACACACACACACACAAAAAAAAAAAACAACAACAAAAAACAAGTTAGAAATTAGATTTCTTTCACAGAGATCCCAAACCAGGTTCTTTTAAAAAACTTAGCTTGTTTTCATATATTTTAAAGAGATATATCCTATTATATAAAGCAAAGTTAAGAGTTCGATTGAATAGGGGCAGTATCAACAAATGCCTAAAATACTATCTCATCAGCTAAAACCAGGACAAATAGATTTTTCAAATAAGAGTTAGTTGAGTCAATATTAGTTTAAGTATCTTATTAAACTGAAAACTACTTTATTACTTAAAAACCGAACCTATGAAAAAATAAGAGATTTAATCCAAACAAACTAAATTAACTCTTCACTCTAGCCTTTACTTTTTTTTCTTTCCAAATAATTTAATTTCATTAATAGAAATGTTAGTGAATGACTCTTTAAAAATACTTATTTTGAAATTACAGATAAACAGTAGGAGAACACAAATCATTTTTTAGAGTGATTTGTAAAATATTGTCTTAGTACACTTTTTATAAGAACAAAAATACTATAATACATTTCCTTCCTCCTTCAGGAATACTTTGCTGTTTTTAACAATTAGTTTCTATTATTGAGAGTATTACAGATGCCTCCCATTTGCAAATTCTATGCAGACACAGAGCACTTCTCCTGCCCTGCTAAAGTCCTCTAAAAATGTACAGAAATGGTTCAAAGTTATTTAATTTAGACCACTTTCATCCAAGCTTTGTAAAAACATATCAAAGAGAAAGCAAGGTATTCAGTTCTAGTTAACAAGATAATAGCCCCTAAAGCAGCTCCTTGAAGTCTGGGGCAGTAGGCAGCTGCAAACATCCGACTGAAAGCCCATCTGTGGCCTCACAGCTTCCAGTCGAGGATGTTTACAGTTGCTCACTGTCAACAGGGATCTGCTTTCCGAAACTGTTAACCTGAAGAAGGTTCCCCAGCAGGTGTTTCTAAGATGTATTGGCAGCAAGTCTGTACATCACTGAAGTCTCATTCAAATAAAAATATTCTTAAAAGATATCTCACATTCAAAACAAAAAGCTTCGTGAATGTCTATTATTCAATTGCCAAGTTCCTATAAAAGTCTATGATGTACTAAGATGATATATGCAAACAGATTTTATCCATTACTGGTAGCTACAAGGAACAAACAGGCAAAGGCAGAGTTACTTAAAATGACTCCAGCATGTATTATGTAATTAAAATCCTTCGAGTGAAAGTGACCAAACATGGAAATTAAATCATGTTAACAACATAAAGTGCACATTTAACATTAAATACTACATTTAAGTGAAGTTAGACTCTCAATGAAAATAAGACTTATTTCAAATACTGTAAATTCTGACAAGAACAAGACTTACGTGCTGCTTTTATGTATCACTTTTGCTCTGAAATATGCTCCCAGAAACAATTTGTATAGTCAGCTGGTTTTTGAAAGAGTAAGCAACAATCAGGAGAAAAGTAGAATGGAATAACAAGGTCTACAACAGGCATATATCAGTTTGTGGATCACAGTTTCCCTCTGGAAAAACACCGAACCTATTACTCGCAACAGTGACGCACATTAACTCTAAATCTGAATGTTTTGAATTCCACTCCCATTCTTTTATGAAAATAAATGAGGAAAACTGAAGGTTAAGCTCTATCAGTCACTACTTTCCTGAAGTAATTCAAAACCCTTCCTAGTCCAGTGAAAGATTAAGTTGATACAGAAAAGAGGGTGTGCCTTTCCCTGAGATTTGTTTGCAGATGAAGTTACCATAAGGTTCTTAAGTTGCAGAAGTCTTAGTAGTTTGTAACACCAAACCCAAAACATAAACAAATCCACACAAACAGTGTCATGCTTACTGAAACTAACAAATGTGAAGAGCTCTATAAATTACTTTTTCAAAGTAAAGGGTAACTCTATCCCATTAAGGTTAAAAAAGTTAATCTTTGAGGCAGCAGGTGAAAACAAGCTGTGTTATGTTGTGGCCTTTTTCTTTATTAACTAAGGGCTTTGAACTATTAAAATTTCCTAGGGAACCACGCTTTCTCAATGGGTCAAGTCACAAAGAGGAACAAAGCAAACTTTATCAGTGCTGTGCGATTCTACATTCCAGAAATTCTTAGTACTTGGCATGCCTATATCACTGCTAACTAGAGCTTGAGTCAGTTCACCAAACCCAGCTACAGAACCAACCTTGTGAACTTCTCACCAAGACACTCACTTCTTTAAGTTAGTCGCAAATAGACAGGCAGGGTACTCTTTAATTAAAACAGATAAATAACAATTCTTACACCCCGTGAAGACATTGTATAGCATTAACTGTTTACAAAATGAAAATATTTTCACTCCCATAAATTTTCCTCAAAATGACAGATCTCTTACTTGCTTTGGAATCTTAGCACTTTTAAATAATAACTTTATATAATACTAAAAATGAAAAACCCTAAGTGACTAGTACTGTGTTTCCCCAAAAATAAGACATCCTCTGAAAATAAGACCTAGCGCATGGAAAGATAATGACATCCCCTGAAAATAAGACCTAGTGCAACTTTGGGAGAAAAAGTTAATATAAGACACTGTCTTATTTTCGGGGAAACAGGGTAGTACATCCTACGCAAACAATCTCAAGAACAATTCTGTGAACAAGTGAAAGATATTAAACCTTAACACAACGTTGAAAATCCAGCCTTTTGCTCAGAGCTCTATGAATAAATGTAAAAACTTCTCCAAACAAAGCATGAAAGACCACAAGATCTTAGTTATAAGAATTCGTAAATAGAAGGGCATTTAACAAACATCAATATAGTACTTCAGTGTCTATATACATGGGTTTCCTTTTTAGCAAGTCAGCTAGATGAAATCCATGTGAAAGGTAAAGCAGATTCATTCATCTCAAATAGGTGCGGAATAATTCTGCCAGTTGGAGACTCAATATTATTTCGTTTAAACCATTGGCTGTTTTTGAGTAATTGACCAGTACCAGTTCTATTTGGAATAGCAAACCCTCAAACGAGTGTGGCAACAATTCCCAGGACGGTTTATTTTTAGTTCCACATACCTGGACTGCCTCTTGTCCTATGGACTCTGCAATTCTTATTCATATAGGAAGGGAGTTGAGTATGTGCATTTCACAAAAGCTATAAAATGATTTTGCTATACCTTCTAGGCAGAAAACCACTCATCTAGAAAGACAAAACTAAATAAATTTGCTTAATATCTTGCCACTACCTGAGAAATGTGACCAGTAAATCTATTTCAAAAATCATGAATTAAAAACAAATATGGCAGTATAAGAATCAATTGTGTCTAATATACCAGACCCAGGTTTGTGTTAAAGAACAAATCCATAAAAGTATCCCTACCCAAAGTGCAGTTCTGGATGTCTATACCCTAATCATATTTTGTAATCTTCCCCATATCATTTTGTTTTAACTGTTTGAAGGATTAATTCCTTCAGGCAGTGCAGTTTAGGACTGGTCAATAAAGTTTTAAAAATTTCCTTAGCTCTCCTAAACTCTTCAGTCTTGAACCCTCTTATTGACTCTATAATCAGGTTATTTCCTAAACTCTGCATAATTAAGATCAGCTTAAATTATTATAGAGCTCATGCTCCCCCACCTCCCTCCTTTCATATACCTAAATTCTCCAGATTTTAGGATATCAGAGTATTTCATACTTGAATAGTGAGATTTTTAGACACTCAGCAGCAGCCAAAGGAAGTTATTACTCTCTTTGTTGATTTATGTCTTTATACTAGGTCTGTCCTTTGACCATGAAAATGCAAAGGTACATGTAAGTGATCTTACCTATTAGAGAATGATGCTTCGTCCTATGGTTCCACCTTTCTTTTCCTGCATGTTCATCTAACTTCCAGCCCCTCTGGTCTCTGAATGCTGCACTGACATCCTAGGAATGGAAGTGTTTCATGTTAGCACAGAACCCAGTGTCCAAGCTCTGTTCTGCATCTTTCCATCCACCATCTCTCTGGAGGCCAAGGTTCCAGGCAAACTGTATCAATAGTACTGGCATTTGGTCCCTATCCCTTCCTTCAGAAAACCCAACCTAAGGCAAGAAACACAAGTAGTCTCTGCTTCCTTCTGTAGAAAGCATACCTAGAACTGGTCTGAAATGAAAGGAAAATAAATGAACAAACAAAATTCTGCTTTTTAAAAGTAATCTTCATCTTCTTCTACTTATACTTTACACTTAGTAGTTCACAGTGTGTTTAGCTCACTCCACTTATAATTCTCATTATACTTTTTACTAATGACAGTGATGAACTTTCCATTGCTTTAAAAATAAAAATAAAAATAAAAATAAAAATAAAAATAAAAATACAGACCTACCTGGTCTTTGTATCATGAAACTGGCCATGGGCTGTAGAAATTTACTGGAAAAGTTTTCCCATGGATTGTGCACACCTGGAAGATTAAGAAACTCAGATTCTAGGAAGCAAAGCAGTATCTTGGATAGTATACCCGAGCTTACAGACTTATAAAGAATAAGATCTCTCCTACTCCAGAAATCAATATATTTTGTTCAATTAACACTCTGGAGTAAAATTACAGTGCAAATAAGTTGAGAATAAGTTAAATAGTATATACTCAAGTTTATAGACGTTGCTTGACATACAACAATTTTTGTTGTATGTCAAGCAACGTCTACGCACAATCTCATTTTATCCTTGCCATGGTTTCATCATCACACAGGCTTTGAGAGTTAGAATCACATCTGTCCCTCACTGCAACATTATGATTTTTGTTTGTATGTTTGTTTGTTTTTTGTTTTGTGGTGTTTTTTGGTTTTGTTTTGTTTTGTTTTTTTGCTATTCTAACCTCCTCTGAGTCATCTGTGGAGCTGGAGAGGGTGTAGGTTTAAATAAATATGATATAGTTAATGATGTCCTATAAAAATGTGTCTTCACTATAAATTAGACATAACAATAAAAAACTTTTTAGTAGAAACAAATATCCAGATCCATTGCTGATACAATTCATTCAATCATTCATTCATTCTTCATATATTTTATTCATTTGCCAAAATCTCCTTTAAGATAATACAATGGAGGCCAGGGCTACCAAGATAGGATCTATTCAAGCTTATCAGAGTTTTGTGGTTATTATCACCTGGCTTTCTCATCATCCTCTCCTATGTTGGCTGGCATTCTCACTAGGGAGGGGGATTCCAGAGTGTTAGGGCATCTCAATCTTCAGGCTAATGAGGGACTTTCCATCCCTCTCCTCCCATCCCTTCTGTCTCTCTTCCTTCAGCATTACTGTTAGCAGTTCCCAGGCAACATTCCTCAAACCACCTGCTGGCTCAGCTCTCCCTACTCAGAAATTCCTGCTCCATTAGACTTCACACAAAGAGCACTCTCACCCAGGTCCTATTTCTAAAGGGACATTAGAAATTTAAGATTAATTTCATTGTAATCATCACATGGAAGAATTACAAATTCAAACAATCCTTGTTTTTTAAAATCAAAGCTATTAAATTATTCCAAACAGTAAAAAATCAACATGTTAAGTATTAGAAATGCATTTAAAAATATTTTTTGTTTATACATTTCACAATTTGTTTCTAATTTATGGCAACTGTACATAGTTGATATTTCTATGGATATTTTAGCCAAGCTAAATGATTTTGATGCCCTTAAAAATTTGAAAGTAATTTGCCACTTAGTGCATTTAAAAAATACTTTAAAAAGTATTTCTTAGATTAGCTAAGGTTATAATCTTAATCATTTTGTGTAAAATAACATCAATAATTGCCATAGAAAAGCAGCCAGATTACTGACATACTCAGAAACTGACTCCTTCTGGAATTATCTAATCAGTAAAACAGGTTACAAAGCTCTGCGGTGATACAAACATTAGATATCCCATCAAATTCAAGAAAAGAAAATCTATAGGTATAATATAAACAATACTGTGTCAAAAATTTAGAGCATGATGTTTTTCCTTCCTACTTTTTTATATTTTATAAGTTTTCTTTGAGTATTTTAATATAAACATTTAGAAAAAAATGACTGACCTATTATCCCAGATATAAGAATTAATTTCTCCCATATCTCAAGAGTAATATGTAGATAGTACCAGCCATTTCTCAGGAACAGTTCTCCACCTCGCTAAATCTTTGAAAAGAGAGATTACATAAGCTCTGAAGGCCATGATTCTGTCTCAGCCATTATTGTATCTCTTAGAGCAGCGTTTTTCAACCGCTGTTCCGCGGCACACTAGTGTGCTGCGAGATGTTGCCTGGTGTGCCGTAGGTGCAGACAAGACAAGAATTTTATAATTTTTCACTATTTTGTTTACTTAATATTTCATAATAAAGTAATTATAAAATACTTTCTTTGTGTTTATTTGATTCCTATTCAAGAGAATTACTTTATATATAGTCAATATAGGCACAGAGTTAAATTTTTGAACATTTTCTAATGGTGGTGTGCCTCGTGATTTTTTTCATGAAACAAGTGTGCCTTTGCCAAAAAAAGGTTGAAAAACACTGTCTTAGAGTATAACGGGCTTAAAATAGTAGATACCCAAATTGTGCGGGCTGAATTTTTAAAACGTTGATAAGGAGAGTCTTAAAACACACCTTATTTATAATTATGCAGCATCTTTCCTTAGAAATTTATGAGTTTATAGCTCTTAAAAAATAGGGTCCCTCCCTTTTAAAGTAATGAAGTAGACTAAAATTAATTGGTTCATGTTTAGAACCAAAGCTATAGTATGAAGATGTGATTCCCTAGCCTGTGGTTTATGAAATTGTCTTGAGACCAGCTGAGGCTTCTGTCAAGGTGTAAAACAGGGAGCACTGGGCCCTTTTGATAGATGACTGGCACTGGCAGGTTTCTGACTAACACTGAGCCTATTTTCTCTGTGGTTGGACACTACTTTACTTACACCTCACAGACCTCTTCTGAGAAATGACTAAGATAAGGAAAAGCACCATGCACAGATTAATTATTCCTCTTTATTATTACCTTCTGATTATGAACATGTTAGGGCAGATTAATCAGAAGAATTTTTACTAAGGGAAATAAACTAATAATGTCACTTGGGCTTTTAAACTTGCTACATGGTCTCATTTGACCTCATTGGACATCAATTTTCTCGACTGTAACAAGAAGGTTAATCAGATTCTCTCTAAAATCCTTCCAGCTATAAAATCCTCTGACTCTAATCCCTTCAACTGTTGGAATTTATGAGATAGGGGTGGGAACTGGAATGGGAGAGGGCTGTTTAATATTTTCAAATATTAAACATACACGAATCATGGACACAGTCTTCCATTATTAGTGCGATTTTTTTTAATACAAAGAAGCACAATTTAGCCAGACTTCACTCACCATCACTTCCCACACCCACACATTTTTTTTAAAAAAAGCAGGACTATAAGATAGTTTGAGAGTATATTTATGAACACAGTAGTTAGTAGCTAACTTATAAGTTTCAACAGAACTTAATTATCTCCAATAATGTCTGGCATGGGAATTGGGTTATAAGTAGCAAAAGAGGTTCATATAATTTATACTTGTGGCAAACAATGACACAGCATACAGAAAAAGTGACCAAAAAATTCATATTCAGAGTTGAACCTTGAAATCAGGTTGCAAGACCTCTACCCTATTTCATATAGAGAAAGGCAACTTAACTTGAAATAGCTCACGCACCTCCAAACCAAACACTTTAGCAGCACTTTACTACAAGTTAATGTATGACTTACACTATTTTGGGCAATCAGCAGCTTAGTTGTTCATGTGAGGACTTTTTCAGACTTTCAACAAAATAACTGTAAACTCACAAGATAACAACTATACTTCAAGTCAAAGAATAGTTATTAAAAAACTCACAATTTCATCCTATTATATTCACCTAATTAATATGTACTCAAACAGCAGGTTTGTGCTAAATTTGAACCACTAGAGATAACTGATGATGGAAATATAGTGTGACTGGCCCTAATTTTATTTGTAGGTTTAAGTATTAAGAATGGAGGTAAAAAAGTTTAGGTCAACCAAATAGGGCAGCCACAGAAGCAACAATGACAAACTACCATCTACTGTTTTGCTTCTCTTTCCTGTAAGGAAGAAAGAGGGTCTGAAAACTATGGAATGATTTCCATTAGTTTCTAAAGATGTAGATTCCATTTCTCCTTAAGAAACCTTGGTGTGCTGGTAATCTAGGATGTACAAATGAAAAACATTTGATGAATAGTGGAGGAAATGAAAAATTTCCATGACTATAGGGAAGGATGGACAAGTGGGAGAAAAATGGATAAATTTAAAAAGAATAAACAAGAAAGAAAAACACCCTTTCTCTCTTTCTATTCCCTACAGGTAAATTTATTAGTGATTCTTGAAATGTCTGAACAGCCTGATATTGCCATGCAATGATCAAGAAAACACATTTTCATTTTACTCTTTGTTTCACTGATGGGGATCTAATCAAACTTGTTAAGACGAGGCCCCTCCACCTGGAAAATGAATAGCTATTTAAAAATAATTTTTTCAAATCAATACTTTTATCATTAAATTAGCTCATTTATTTTTTATTATTTAAAGCAAGTATTTTTCATAAACACTACTGAATAATATACTTACCTACAGAGATTCAAAGAGCAGATAAAGAGAGAAACTTCAGGGGGCACTAAAATTAATTAGTAAGAAGTTTAAAAGTAAAATTGACCATATTATTTTGGATGTTCGGGAAGCATCACAATTCCAATGATTCTATCCCAATCTATAATAATTAAAGCATAATATGCTAATTAGACTGGAGATCCTTCCGGACGACCTTCTGGAAGAAGCTGGGGCTGTGAGGGAAGCCAGTGCTGGTGCCTGGGGAAGGAAGGCCTACTCTTGTACAAATTTCATGCATCAGACCTCTAGTACAATCATAAATCAGTAGGAAATACTTTCAGATTAGTGATCTGAGCAAGAAAAGTCAATAAGCATGATTTAAGCAGCATCCCAAAAGAAATCCTAAATTCCCTAAAGAATTAACTTTAGTCTTATAATCTGTGGAATGAAAGTGCCACACTTTTATTTCACCTAAACTATTAAGAAAAGGTAATTTATATACAATAAGAGTACTTTACACCCATCTTAAAAAATAAGTGATGACCTCCCACCTGTCAGAATGACTATCATCAGTAAATCAACAAACAACAAATGTGGGCAATGATTTAGAAAAAAGGAACTCTCACATAGTGTTGGTGGGAATGCTGATTGGTGCAGCCACTGCAGACAGCGTATAGAGTTACCTCAAAAATTTAAAAATGGGACTGCCTTATGACCCAGCAATTCTACTTCTGGAAATTTATCCAAAGAAAACCAAAATACTATTTCAAAAGAATATATGCACCCCTCTGTTCATTGCAGCATTATTTACAATAGCTAAGATTTAGAAGCAGC